GTTAGAAGGAGCCTTTGTGCCTTTATGTGACCCACTCTAATATTCTACTGAGGACAAGAACTCCATTATATGTAGATTGACCATTTAATTTATCAAACTAGAACATTTTTGAGAGTGAACAGGGTAGTAAAAATGCTCAATTGGGTGGGGACTCTGGAACAAAAGGTATAAAGTGAAAGTGTCTTGAGAAAAATAGGTGTGGTCACCCTACTTATACCATAGCCTTGCCAGTTCATCATCCAGACTCTGCTTGAAAACATTTGTTGTCTCACAAAAAGGCTAGTGCCATGGGTAGCTCTAATGATAAAAACGTTTTTTTATTAAGCTAAAATTTATTTCACTGCAACTACTAGCTCATTCCCAGTCCTGTCCTCTGATACTAAATATAGTCATAATATGATAATACACAAAAAAATCAGCTTTTTAGATAGCTTTTTTACTTACAACTTAAAATTTTTTTGTTGTTAGCAAAATCTTACAGTTCTCTCCTGTAGTTCTAACCTATGCCCAAATTAAAACAGAAAAGAAATGGGAAGACAAATGAAAAAAAGGCCATACTGCTGGCCAACTCACCAACACTGATAGAGGATACTGCTTGCCACGTAACACTTGACAGCAGCACATCCACACATTCTCATCTTGGTACTTTTAGAAAACATTCAGTGTGGTCTCTAGCTTCTCAGAAGGAAAACTTCCAATTATTACATTAATATTTTATCACCTTAAGATAGAATAAAGGTCTGTACTATTGGACACATGCCAGTGAAAGTGAAAGAACCACTATTTTTTTATTTTTTTTTATTTTTTATTATTTTTATTTATTTATTTTTTTTTTTTCTCGCCTCCTTCACCTACCCCTAGAACCACTATTTTATACACTGGAAGGCTGTACTTCCAGTTAATCATAGTGCTTACAGTTTTTTTTTATAATTAAAAACACTTTATGTTTATCTATAAAAGTAGCTACAGATAATTTTAAGTTAGCCCTCTTGGCATCTTTTCTCCTTTAGGCAAAAAAATAGTGGTTTATTTGGCATGCAACTTTTCACCACCCTAGTTGCTATATTAAAAACATATTTTAGTTTTCATGTGCTATATTGCCCACATTTTTTCAGGAGGCTCATAAGGATGAAGAGCTGGAATGATACTTTTTGAGGTGAGATATGAGTAGGGCCACAGAGCCTAGTTCCTCACTGTATATACAAGGAGGTCCCCTCCACCCTGCCCCTCCTTTTTTTTTTTTTTTTTTTTGCTATTTAGGTAATTGTTTTTTTTCTTTTTTTAATAATTTTTTTTTCTTTATTGAACGTGGAGGCTGAGGGAGTATTTAGGTAATTATTAAAAGAATATAAAATAGAGCCATTTGACAACATGATTAAGGGAAATTATTCCCAAATGGCATTGTCTAATTTGATAAATGTGATTTGATTTGAACCCTTGTAATGGAGATAGTTAAAAGGCAATCAAAGTTGGTTTATTTATAGAAGCAATTTTATTGCTTACAAAATGTCAAATTGAAAGGTGGCATTTAAAGTAAATTGGAAGTTATATGCTACCGTAGGTATAGGTTATTGACTCAGTTATTGGATTTTACTGTTGATGCATAGCAGTGTTCACTGTACATTATAATCTTGTAAAAGTAAAACTGTATGTGTTAGGTAGGGCTGTTGAAATAAATTAGGGTATGTTTTACAAGTTCCAAAGCTTTACTTCAGAGCTCATATGTATGAGTGTCTGTAGTTATTCCTTTCACTGCAGTTTTTGAGTAAATTTTGACAAATTTTAAAAATGGCTTGGTCATTCTAGGGAGCACATTTATGTATTTGATGTGGTGTAAGGAGTGTTTCTTATAAGGAACTGGAGGAGAGCTGTTTTGCTATGTAAGATTTTTTCTTTAGTAAAGTTGATTGTATCTACATTTGAAGCTTTAATAGAAGATGTGAAAAAGTGGTTTTCTCTTTTTGACACCTTCACTGTTAATTATTTAGTTGGTGTTACCAAGTAAATATCTTTTTTTTTTTTTTTTTTTTTTCAGGGCTTCCTCTTCTTGGTACCAAGTAAATATCTGTGCTTTACTTTTATTTGCCTTACTTTGCTTATCTAATATTTTTGCCTTTAAAAGTATGATCAGTTAAAGATGATTAAATGAGGAATTCTCCTGGTACTATGTAATGGGAAAGCATGGGAGAGGCATTGTATTACTGGGTGCAAAGTGTTGCTAGTTGAGAGGGTAACCTTTTAGGTCCTGCTTGGAAACCTGCTGCAAGTCAGTGTAGCAGCATCGATACATTATAGCAGTATGATTATAAACCTCATAAAGTTTATAATCATAAAGTGCACTTTATTATTTGGTCTTCATATTCAATTTCTTTGAATTGTTTTGTGGAAAGAGTTGTCTTAGTAATTTGAGAAATGATTTTAGGTGTGTTTATTACTGTTTTGTTAAGGTATAATATGTATATTAACTCACAAAATGTTTTGCTAGTGTGATCACTTACCAAGACATGCAAAGAGCATTGTAATAAATTGACCTCTTGTTTTACTTTGCATATATATTTTTTTATTTTTTAGAGTTAAGTGTATGACTACTTATTGAACTGGTAGTACCACATAATTTCTGTTTTGAGTTTATGAAATAAAGCATAGTAAATAAAAAGAGAAGACTAGTACTTATTAATTGCCTCCTGTGTGTTAGATGCTTTTCAAATATTATTTTGCAACCCTGTGAGGATTTTGACTGTATTCAGAACTTACAGGTGAACACTGAGAAGATAAGTTTATCAAAGCTCCTAAAAGGTGGAGCAAAAATGTACATGCTGTTCTTTCTAAACTCCAAAATTCATGTTCATTTTGCTATATCACATTAAAATTTGTATGTGTAGTAGCTTCATGACAAAATTTCTTTGGATGATTCTTTTTTTTTTTTTTTTTGAGACAGAGTCTCACTTTGTTGCCCAGGCTAGAGTGAGTGCCATGGCGTCAGCCTATCTCACAGCAACCTCAAACTCCTGGGCTCAAGTGATCCTCCTGCCTCAGCCTCCCGAGTAGCTGGGACTACAGGCATGTGCCACCATGCCCGGCTCATTTTTTCTATATATATTAGTTAGCCAATTAATTTCTTTCTATTATAGTAGAGACGGGGTCTCGCTCTTGGCTCAGGCTGGTTTCGAACTCCTGACCTCGAGCAATTCGCCTGCCTGGGCCTCCCAGAGTGCTAGGATTACAGGCATGAGCCACCGCACCTGGCCTGGATGATTCTTTTTAACATTAAATTTCTTAAAGTAACAGGAATAAATTAAGGTATGAAAATTAAATGCTATTAAAAACTGGTAATTCTTTACAAACTGAGATTCTAGTTTTAAAAGTATATTACAAATATTTTAATAAGGCCTTTTCCAAATGTATTTAAGGATCAATTATAGTACCTTCTTGATGAATCTTTTTTTTTTTTTTTTTGAGATGGTTTCACTGTGTCACCTGGGATAGAGTGCAGTGGCATCATCATTTGACTGCAACCTCAAACTCCTGGCCTCACACGATCCTCCTGCCTCAGCTTCCAGAGTAGCTGGGACTAGGGGTGTGTGCCACCACATCTGGCTAATTTTTTTTTTTTTTTTTTTTAGAGATGAGGGTCTCACTCTTTTTAGTCTAGTCTCTAACTTATGGTCTCTAAGCAGTCCTCCTGCCTCAGCCTCCCAGAGTGCTAGGATTACAGGCATGAGCTGATGAATCACTTTTTATAGTATCGATGCCTTTGGCTCATATCGTTAGTTTGCCTGGATGTAGTTATTATCAATCCCTGAAGAATGACCATGTCAGAGGTTATTGTAAATGAAGTAAAAGGTCCGCAGTCACACATGGCTTTGGTTAAATTCCTAACTTTACCTTTCCTAGCTGTTGTGATGTTTGGCAAGTTACTTTAAGTCTCTGTACTTCTTTGTGTTTTTTTTTCCCTTTTAATCTTGGACCCGGTTTTTTTTCCTTTTCATCGGAGATAATAACAGTTTATATCCTATGGGTTTGTTGTGAGGATTAAATGAGTTAAATGAGTAAAGATCTCAACATATTATTGTATTAGTACTTACTGAGCTCTCAGTGAATTTGTTGTGATGAACATTTTCCAGAATTTTACATACACATTGGCTCATATTGCATTATAAGTAATGTTTTTGTGTGTTTGGGAAACCTATTTAAGAATAGGTTAGAATTTCTTAGAATTCTTATACATTGTTAGAATTCTAAATTTTTAGAATGCTTATACATTGTTATTCCATTTCAATTTTCAATTATTTTAGATTCAAATGTGGTAGGGATGGTATTGTACTATGTTATTAGGATTTTTGCTTTTCTTTGGGCTACTCTTGGCAGACTCTTGATATCTACTATAGTATTACATAAATTTGAATATATTTTATACCATACTTTTTTTCTTTATAAATTCTTAATTCGAACTTCATCTTTTTTTTTTTTTTTTTTTTTTTTCTCGCTTTGTTGCCCAGGCTAGAGTGAGTGCTCTGGCGTCAGCCTAGCTCACAGCAACCTCAAACTCCTGGGCTCAAGCAATCCTGCCTCAGCCTCCCGAGTAGCTGGGACTATAGGCACGCGCCAACATGCCCGGCTAATTTTTTCTATATATATATTAGTTGGCCAATTAATTTCTTTCTATTTATAGTAGAGACGGGTTCTTGTTCTTGCTCAGGCTGTTTTCGAACTCCTGACCTCGAGCAATCCGCCCGCCTCAGCCTCCCAGAATGCTAGGATTATAGGCGTGAGCCACGGTGCCCGGCCTGAACTTCATCTTTATTATAGAAAAACTGTTAAAATTCTAAACAGCTAAATGATGATTAGGTCTTTAAAATTTTTTTCATTTTTAAAAATGCAATTTTACTTTGTTTGGCCAAAAAGTGATTCTTTGCCTGAAATGATCTTTTAAAATGAGCTTAAATTAAAAGACAAATAAGTAGCATTCCATTAAATTTTTCTTTCTTTCATTCTCTTAGCTTCACAATGAAGAGGACAATTCAGAATCATCTGCTGTAGAGCAGCCATCTACTTCAAACTCATCACCACAGGATGTGCAGACTGCTCCCTCAGCATCAGCACTTGAAACAGACTCTTCTCCTCCACCATATAGTAGTATTACTGTGGAAGTACCTACAAGTTCAGGTATGAAACGGCTAGTAATGTTTTTAATAGTTAATTTTTTGACAGTATGGTTTTGTGTAATTATCAAGTCTGTACTGGGCTTTTAAAAACACGTGCACACATATATTCAAACACGTATATATGTACATACATGTGCATATATATACAAATAAATACATGTGTGCATGTGTACACATGTACATACATATATGTGTGTATATATGTACATACTTATGTAGTCATAAAACAAGATGTTACTGATCAGTGTGAGCAGGAATGTGGCTTGTGTGACTAGAGGTGAACACTGTACATAGTGTTATCCCAAACATATGGTAATGATTCTTGAATACAAAGCGCTAATTCCTGTTTGCTACTGTTCATCTTATACAAGTCATTCTAAAGAATTAATCTGTTTCTCTGGCCACAATTTTTATTCCCCTAGCAATGCTAAATTAGTCATTATGATGACTTTTATATAATATTGTTATTTTGTGTATTATTTGATTTGTATGATTGTTTGATTTTATATGCTATTATAAATTCTCTAAGTAGTCTAATAACTTCTAAATAAGTTCTAAATAGTGTAACAGCTCTTTAAGAATTTGTCTAGCAGGTCTTCTGGGTAAAAAAGTTCTAAATAACTTCTCTAAATATTTTATAAACTCATTATGAAACATTGGTTTTAAAAATCAGTTATTTAGGGGGACAAGGGCAATATATGTAACATTAACATTTGTACTCCCATAATCTGCTGAAATTTAAAAAAATTAAAAAAATCAGTTATTTAAAAACATTTTAACACAAAAAAACCTTCACTAGAATATTTCATGTTCCTTATTTTTTATTCTGAATTAATGTCATCTACTTCTCTCAAACTCCTGCCAACTTTCTTTGGTTGCCATTTTGCATTTGGAATATGTAAATAGACCCATTATTTCTTTCACCAAATTCATTTACTTTTTTCATTTACTGAAAATCATCTTCTTTTTGAAGGTGTTTCCACTGATTAAACTAATAAATGCCTACTCCTTTTATTTGTATATAATGTTTATTTGATTGCTTTACTTGACTTACTTTACTTCAGTGCCCAGTTTCATGCACAATTTTTATATTGATATCCATCAATGAAGTCTTTGGCTATAAGATTTAACAGCTGGTTTGGTACTTGTTCAAATATAGGCTAAATTTTCTTCCATATTTTACAAGTTTCCAGAATAGTGTCAATGGAAAAAAGCCAAACTCTGTAAAATAATTTAAAGAGATTTACCCTGAGCCAAATTTGAGGACCATGACCCGGAGCTATGGCCAAGAAGCCTTGAGCAAGTAGACTTGCTGTGGTTAGGTTACAGTTTGGTTTTATACATTTCAGGGAGACGGGTTACAGGTAAAGTCATAAATCAATACGTGGAAGGCATACATTAATTTGGCCCAAAAAGGTGGGACATCTCGAAGCAGTGGGGTAACAGGTTATAGGTGAGTTTAAAGATTCTTTGGCTTGTAATTAGTTAAAGACATGAAGCTTTGTCTAAAGACTTGAAATGTTTTAACATAAGGAGCTGTTAACAGAGATAAGCCACTGACATAGATTTGTTGTGTAAATTGAAGACCTGCAGGTTTGTCTTGCATATCCTTAGGCCTGTTAATGGGTTACAAAGGATGTCCCCAAGAAGGGAGCAGGGCATGATAAGGCATGTCGGACCTCTCTCCTCCTGGTAGACAATTTAATTTTAGGATATTCCTTTGGCCATGAGGGGGCCCATTTAGTCAGTGGTGGGGATTGAGCCTTAAAATTTTATCTTAGTTTACAATTGTATAATAAATTTGTTACCTTAGATTTAAAAAAAAATCAATTTGGTAACTTTGAAGACAAAAAATGAGTTGTTTTCCTGATGAGGTCCATGTCTGAGTAATGGAAGATGCATATTTTCAGAGTGAAATTGTGATGTCTTTGTTGTGGCAACCATTGCTATTGCTGTGTAACAAACATCTTCAAATTTAATGGAGTAAAATAGCAATCATTTATTACTATTAAATCTTACCGTTCTGGGAGTGGACTGGGATCAGCTATGCTGATCTTTCTCCAAATCTCATGTGATTGTTGTCTGGTGGTGGCTGGGGCTAGAATCATCTCAAAGGCTGGCTTTTTCACATGTTTTGTGGTTGATGCTGGCTTCAGCTAGGAACTGGGCAGTTGGCCACATAGCTAGCCCTCAGCTGGGGCTGTTGGACAGGATACCTGTATGTGGCTTCTTGTGGCCTAGGCTTTTTCACTGAATGGTGACTGGCTTTTAAGTACAAGTGTTCTGAGGAAAAGCTAGATGGAAGCTGTTTCATCTGTCATAAAATTCTCATGATACCAGTTCTGCCATATTTGGTTTGTTAGAAGTGAGTCACTAAGTTTAGCCCGTATTCAAGAGGAGAGGAATTAGTCTCTACTTCTTGATGAGAAGAGTTTCAAAGAACTTGTAAACTAACTTTTAAAACTGCCACAACGACATACTCCATCTTTCCCCTACCACCAAACCTTCTCCTTCTACAGTTTCAAGAAGTGGCTTCCATGGCTAGAAATCTTAAAGTCGTCTTTTTGGTACCTGATCACAAAACTACAGTAGTCCTCCCTTAACTGAGGGAGATATGTTCCCAGACCCCCAGTGGATGCCTGAAAACATGGATAATAACGAATCCTATCTATATTATATTTTTTCCTATACGCACATACCTATGATAAAGTTTAATTTATAAATTAGGCACAGTGAGAGATTAACAATAATAAAATAGAACAATTATAATAATATACTGTAATAAAAATTATGTGCATGTGGTCCCCCCTCTCAAAATATCTTCCTGTATTATGTTCACCCTTCTTTTTGAAGGGTGATGATATGAGATGATGAGATGAAGTGAGGTGAATGACATATGCATGTGACAGCATTAGGCTACTATTGATCTTCTGACAATACATTGGAAGGAGGATCATCTACTTTAGATGATCCTGGATCATCTAGCCACAATAATGTTGGTGTTCCAATCACAGGCACAGATGATGCTGTTGATAGTTGTGGATCTTCGATAGTTGAAGGTTTTTTTGCTCAAAATTTTTTTGAAGAACATTGTAATTTGAAGTTGTCTCTTTTTAACTTATCAAAGTATTGCTGAAGAGATTGTAATGCTTTGGTGATCATATGGGTGACTTGGATATTGTGTACCATCCTGGGATCACATTCCATAATTTTGTCCTTTGATGTCTGCACAGCTCAAAACACTTTGGCAAATTTTAGTAATGGCCACGTTGCTGATTCTGCTTCAGTTTCTTCTTCACTTCCTCTTTGCAGATGACTCAATAAGTTCTTCCAGCTCCTTGTTTTTTAACACTTGTCAAGGGCCTTCAATATGTTCTTTAACTTCTTTATCAAGCATGTTGGTAAATCCTTCTCCATCAACATGTCTTGCTGTGTGAATGATTTTCCTAACTTCTCCATCGATCTCTAGGAAGCCTTTAAAATCACTCACAACTTCCTTCCATAAGTTTCTCAAGTAGGCATTTATAGTTTCTGGTTTTAATTCATTCATTGCAGCTTTGATGAATATTATTGTATCAGCAATAGTGAATGATTTTGAGTGCTGCATTATGTCCAGGTTAAGATCTGTATCGATTGCTATATGAATATGATCAAATACCAGGTGGGTATTTGTGTTCTTGACAAATCGAATGATGCCCAGGGCAAGAGGCTCAAACAGTGGGGTTGTATTTGGAGTTAAAAATACAACCTCAACATTTTCACTTTCATAGCAAACAGATTCAGGGTGGCCAGGTGCATTGTCTATTATTAACAGGACTTTAAATTTCAACCCTTCTTCTTCCAAGTATTTTTTCACTTCTGGGATGAATCATTGGTGGAACCAATCCATAAACAAGATGGTTGTCACCCACGCTTTCTGATTATGTTGCCAGAACATGGGGAGATAATTTTTTATTTTGTTTTTGAAAGTGCGTAGGTTCTTCACTCTGTACACCATGCCTGGCTTTCTTGTATGCCCTACAGTTTCGCCACATAGTACCAGAGATAATCTGTCCTTCCATGTTTTATGCCCCGATGCCTCCTTTGCACTTTAATGAATCCAGGTTCTGTTGGGTATTTTCACCCAGAAGAACCCAGTTTCATCACAATTGAAGCCTTGCTTTGGATGGTATCCTTTCTCTTTAAGCAACTTTTTCAACTCTGCCAGAAATCTGGCAGCAGATGCCTCATCGGCAGGCGTAACCTCTTTGGTAATTTTTATATTTTTCATTCCAAACCTAATCCTGAATCTGTATAACCATCACTTACTTGCAGTAAATAGCTGTTGTCACTTGTTTCAGGGGATCCCTTGCTGAAGTCTTAACATAGGCTCAGTGCTTTCCAGTGTAACATGTTGCTATCAGTTGGAACAAGTTTCTGTTCATATCTTCCGCCCACAAATTTAATGTCCTTTTCATCTTAACTAAACACTTACCATGCACTGTGGCCATAACTTTTGCAATTGGAGGTACAAGAGCAACACTAGCAAAATCTTCTTTATCCTTCTTCACAATTTCACAAATAAATTTGTTCTTACCATAAATGTTAGCAACCTCAGCTTACAATTTTTTACGCCTTATTGGCAATTTTTACCTTTCCACTTATAGGAAGTACTTCATGGCTTCTCTTGGGCATATCTAAATTGCCAACATCACTACTTTTGCATTTGGGGGCCATTAATAAGCAAAGGTAATGTAAAAATGAGCTTTATTTTACAGATGAGAAAAAAATCATGGAAAATTAAATAAGTTGTTCATGATCACATAGCTCCTAAGTGGTAAAGACAGAAGTTAAATCCAGATATATCTGATTCTGAAGTTTGCAGTTACTGTTTATAGTTGCAGAGTCCTATGATTTTGGCTATTAGAAGGTCATTGGGGACCTTTGCCATAATGTTTTCTTTGGAGTGTTACAAACAGAAGCCTAGGGATAAAAGGAACACCGACAGTGAGGAAGAGAGGA